ACAGCACTCAAGGGTGCAGGCAGGTGACTGTGCTGCTTGTGGCTGCAGGCCAGGTGAAGGAGAGCTTTTGCTCTCATAGTGGGCTGGCTGCTTGCTTTTCAGAAAATGAGCTTTTGCCCTCTGACAGTCCAGCTGTGTGTAGAATCATAGAATCATAGAATGCTTTTGGGCTGGAGCAGTGTTCGCTTTCTGTAATGTCAGTGAGACACACAATTGAGCAGGAAGACAGTGCTCTGAGTGGCTTCTCCATAGACTGCTCCTTGCCAACCCGGATTATGCTTTAATATTATAATTTTTCCCATTACTTTGTCAAGCTTGCAGGAAATTCACCGTTTGCCATTCCACAAGCTTCACTTGCACTTACTATGTGAAGTCTTTGAATCCACGGGATCAAATCAAAGCTACTCCTTCTGACCATCCAAATTACAAACAGACTGACTGATGCATAATTTTAAAATTTCCTGTTAAAATTTAAAAGGATTTCCAAATATTTTTAATAATTCCCTAAAACAGTGTAAGGACATCTGTTAAAGTACTGAATTTCCTTAAAGACAACACTGTTTGGGAATGCTTCAGCTGCAAATTAGGGTTGTCAGTCAAAGAGCTTTTTCTGTTTTAGTCTCTGATCTAGGAGTTTTTAGCATCTCTTCAAAGTGAGACAAAGAAGGACAGCTAGTGAGCTGTTACGGCTTGTTTTGCCATGTGTTTAAACTAGCAAACAATCAGTCGATACCTTTTGCAACATCTTCTATGTTTTACTGGATACCTCACTGCTTAGTGAGGAAACAAGCTGTACTGTTTTGACATTTTTTTGTACTTTTCACATTCTTTATTCTGCAGCATGTGTCCAGCGTTTTAATGTATTGAGTAGCTGTGGCAACTTCTTTTGTGTGTCTACAAACATATGCATTATTGTTAAGCTATTGGGTCTGCTAATGAGGGGCTGGAGGAAGAGGCAGAATCATGTATTTACTATGTAGGATTTCCTGCAGAGGTGAATAGTAGATTCATGGTGGGCTGAAAGTAGATAACCAGCCCAAAAGAGTCCTTTAAAAGATCCCAGCCTCACCAGCCCCCAGAAATGGAGCTGCAGCCCAGAGCAGGGTGGGATCCTCCATTGGTGTCTGCAAAGAGAATGCTTGAAATAAATCAGAAGCAAACAGGAAAACGTCCGGAAGGCAAGAAAATGCATCCTGCTCCCACTGATGTCCCTACCTCAGTTTCTCCCGCCAAGTGAGCAAAAGAACCACTGGAAAGAAACAACAACGCAAAATAGCGTTGGAAAGGAGGCGACCACTGATTTAATTTGTGAAGTTGCATAAGAAGTTAAATCAAAGGCTGTAGTTCAGAGCAGTGCAATGGGATGGCTAGGATGGATGTGAACTGGGACTCCGCTAACACAGCACAGTTTACAGAGAGTTGTTGTAAAGAGGTCCAAGTCGTAACAACCGAGCCTGGGCATAAAGAACAAGTCAGTGGCAGCATGTGGGCTGGGAGCAGCATCTGCTTTTGCGCAGAAAGGTGTGGGGAAACCTCGTTGCTGTGTTTGTGATGAGAGGGAGAAGAACAAATGACAGAGAAAGGGATTTCTCAGTACATCAGATAGCATGCAGGCAGTGAAATCTGTTGGGTTATCACGTGATAAGAGGTATCAGATGTATTTTACCTCAAATGTGCTTTTCTGAAGAATTGGGTGGAACCTTTTGGAGAGAAACAGGTAGACAAAGAGAAAAAGATGTTTTTCTGTACTTTTCTGAATGCAGAAGAATACTTAATCCAGTTTTCCATTCACTTCAGTTTTCCTTGCATCTAGTCCAAGAATAAAATATATTTATTTCTTTAATATTATTTGTCTGGAAAGATTCAGATCTGGATTGTTGCATATAATACTACAGAAATGCGGCACATGTCATACTTACAGTGTTATAATTAGAGTCAGACGTGCTTATTTATTGCATGCTGATAGCCTAAGTCTATGAAGTGTTATGACAGTTTGTGAGAATATTACTTCACTACATAATTATTTTTATTGTGGTGATGATGCCATATTGAACTAGATTTCCATTTGCTCCTGTGCATCAGAAGACTTAATTTTGTATCATGATAACATCTAAGTGTAAGAGAAGTGAAGCGGTTTGCCTTTTCAGTTTCAATTTCTAACTGCTTTAAGAATTTTTTAATGTTTTGATTATTTTTGTTCTGTGTGATTGAAGGAAGCTGGCATCATCACCAAACTTGCAACAGAGGAAACTTTTTTTAAATGTTCAGTATGTAAAAGATATCAATGTTGTTACCTTTGTAAACAGAAGATGATGGACAGAAAATCTGCAGAATTTTCAGCAAAAGGGAGTAATTTTTTCAGCTCTTTTTCATTTCTTAATGGAAGAAGAATTATGGAAATGAGAGCGGGCATTGCATTAAGTGCTTGAAATGTTCCTTCCCTGCAGACCAATAAAAACATAACTCTTCCATTAGGGAAATTTAGATTTTTGAAGGCTGCATGAATCTGAGCTCTGAATCAGTGAATGAGATGACTATGCTGGGGTAAGTGTTTCAAGGTCTGATAATGTATTTTAAGTCTTTCGTAGGTGGATACCAGCTCTTAGCTTGTCTTGTAAGACTTCTTTGGAGCAACTTTTTCTGTGACTCTTTTTATATTAACCACTTGGCTTATCTTGTAGTACTTCTGTAGTGCAATCTTCTGTTATGCAGATCAGTAACAGAGTTTCAAAGCCATGGGGATTGAATGATTTTTCCTACCTGAATTTGGACTAAAAGGCTTCCTGGCCTTTTCAAAACACTCTAGCTACTTGTATAACTCCATAAACAAAAGTCAAATAGTGAAAGTCAAAAATGTGACCTTTCTGTGCTTGATAATGCCATGTGGCATATAGTGGTTATAGTCTCACCTATGACTATAGATTATGCAGATTGTAGCTATCTGCCTTTAAAAATATCCTTCATCTGTAAGCATGAAATGAAAATGTAGCAGTAAACTGCTGTCACCGGGGGTGTTCAAATTAGGTCCCTGATCAGGGCTGCGGAGAATTAATATCAGACCAAGTGGGCATTCAAGTGAAGCCATCTTTTTTTCTGTGCTATTAACCATAAAATAGTAATCAACATTAATTTCTAGAAGAACACAAATAAAAATGAATAAAAAAGAGTAAAATCATTACCAGTCATTACCACTGCTCCTTACTTCTAACTTATTAATCATATTTCAGTTTCAGATACTATATTACTTAAGCTGTCAAACACATCACAGAGGGTATGTAAGGATGATTTGTCCTCATTTAGTGTATGAGGAGACAGAGACACTGAGAGCTTCTGAAACTTGTCCAAGGTCTGGAAATGATTAAGTGGAATTCTTTCTTTTTATTATTTTTATTTAGTTGTAAATAGCCTGAATGTAGCCATAATGGTCTAGTTATAATTGATCAAACAAATCCCATTTCCCCCTTTTTTGCTGAAGGGCTGATCCCATGGATGCAGGCAGCACAAATAGTTAAAGTACCAAATGTAATTATTGTGAATGTTTGTTCACATGTGGGGCTGGTTTTGTTTTAGTTTTTTGAGGTTTGTTTTCTGCAAACACTGCTGGGAATCGTTTTCCCATCACTAGAAGTGTTCCTTGAAGCTCCAGTCCATCACAGGTCTCCCATGAGTGCACTCCTGTGCTCCTGTTGTGATTTATATGCAGACAACCTAGTCCTTCTGCCATGATCCAGAAAAAAGGCATCAATGCAAATATTAGTTACGTTCCTTATAAATTCAAGAAGCAAAGAGAACATGCCTGACCTACATGATCCTTCATCCCCATCCTGATTATTCATTCCTAATGGAAAGATTTTGAAACACTCCAAAGAGACTTCAGAGTAGGAAGCATATGGACATAAAATTTTCAACTCCTTGCTGATTTTCTTGCTGTTTTATCCTCTCTACCAATCCTATGGCTTAGTCAGTTGATGAATTTAATGAGCTGCCTGCTTTAGACATCATGAAGAGATACTGGCAGTGAATTTCCACCTCGCACATTAGATTTTTGGCTGCTTTAAGCTGGGGTCACCCTGTGCTAGTGCCTTAGGTGGCTAATAGCCCCTGAGAAACCAACTGTGTGGACTGGGGCTGCCTGTAGAAAACATGAGTTCCTGGGTGTCTTGGATGTGTTTGCACACAGAAGGAGCCAGATGGTTTTCTCTGTGGGTTTTCTTTGGCTTCGCTCTGCGGGAGAAATACCTGAGATGGATGCTGCCAGGTAGCTGTGTTGCTTCTGTGTGTTAACAGCTGCTCTAACTTTTCTCTCAGAGGTATATGTAAAGCATATAAAGGAAAAATGGGCAGAAATCTGTGTGGTCAAGTGGGGAGTGGGGAAGACTTCATGTCTTGCGTATCTCCAGACCCGATGGGATGGGTCTGGTCCCAAGCTGGCATCCCAGACTGGAATGTGATGGTGGCACATGCCAGATGGTTCATAAGTGCTTTGGGATCAAAGGCATTTTCTACATGTTAATAAGGTTTTCTCGTTCGCAGCCCTTGGGCACAGCTTACTCACGTGGCCGTGTGGTACGCAGACAGTGTCACCCGCTGGAGTCATGTGAAGCTCTGTGCAATATTGCAGATTTTACTTTGAAATGCACTATTGCAAGTCAGCCACCCTCCCAAAACACCATGACCTTTGGGAAGCTTAGGTCAGGTCCTGTATCACCTGCACATTTTAAAAAATTTAAAAAACTTGGTTGGCTTATACTGGCAATAAAGCTAAGCATCCCTAAAGCGAGGCTCATCTCTGGGACATTATCTGGACCAGAGGTGTGGACTATGGTTTTATCCTGGACAACAAAAGTTAATGCAGGCTGGCCTGTACCTCAACCGCACACCCAACCTTGGGGCCATTAACAGCAGCCCAGCGGCGTTAGCAAAGCTCCAGGTGTCTCAAGCAGGATGGTCTTGGGCAGCCATCCCTGTCTCACATGCATGCTCTCGTGGTCTCGTTTCAGGGCAACCCACTGTACTTCCAGTCTGCCAGAAATGTGACAGTGAACATCCTCAATGAGAAAACTAAAGTCCTTACTCGCCTTGTAACAGGTAAGGAGGGGGAAAGGCTGCATGGAAGAATTAAGGAGGGATGAAAGCGGTGTGTTGTGGGATGCTGCATTGGCTTTAGCACGCAGGAGGGGAGCCCAGGTGTCTTGTGAAGTACAAATGAAAACTTCGCTCCACTTTGTAGAAACAAAGCTAGAGACATGAAAGCCGTGCTGGAGAGGCAGCTGGCTGGTGCTTTCGGGTAATGAAGCAGACCATCATTTTCATTTGAAAGCCAATCTAGAGACAGAAAGGTTAGTTGTATGACTTCAGGGTCAAGAAGAACATATTCAGGGTGACATTTCTGTTGTAACAGGCACAGGCTTTTCCTGAGACACTTTTAACTTGCCTGAGATCTTGGGAACTCTGCTGATTAACTGTGGCTGGATTGGGACACTTCGCAATTTAGAAGCTGTCTGTGCCCTTCTGCTGATGAAGAACGCTCTCATACTCCCAAGGATGAGTGTGTTTGATGGGGAAATGGGTGTTTCATAAATCCCTAATGCACAGCAGCCTTTGAATGAATGCATGTGTAATTTGGGTTGAAAGAGCCTAATGCATTATATATTCTAATGTATATGATGTATGATATAGGATAGATATTTATTTATTGAGATTTATCTAGGGACTGGGAGAAGTATTGCTGTGTGGCAGAGCCAGTAATCCATAAACATGTTGTTTCTATGTGAGACTGGGTTGTTTGGCTTGCTTATATAACATCTTGTCCTCTAGTCACAGTATTAAATAATTAAATATGCAGCTTCAGTAAGCAATGATTTAAGCAGCACGCATGAAAATTGCCTGGAGGAAGGAAATAAATTCAACCCCAAGCTGCCTGATTCTCACATTCAAAATGAATATGTTTGGTTTGTTGGTTCTCCATATATTTTCAAGAGGGTATTCGGTTCACTTAAGCACCTCCATTTCACAAGAGCTTGGGAGGACACAGTTAGTGACGTCTCCCAGTGTGATCTTCTGGTTATTGAGCTCGTTTCTCTGTTCAGCAGCAGCTTTGGTTTCAGAGCGAAGCAAAGACATGATCCCATGTAGTGTGTGCTGCAGTGATGCGTAGGGAGGCAGTTAATTAGCAAGATACAAATCAAACTTAAAGCTCGAAAGTACTGTTTTTTCTCGGAATGGTGCAAGATTTTTTAAGTGTTTCCAGGGATCTCGGCATAGGCTCGCTTTTCTGTAGTGCAAACCATGCACACGATTCTTTGTGAGCCCTGATGCTAACACAGATGACCTGTGCAGGGAAACGCTGGGTATAGATGAAGTTTGAACCTGCCTATAAGAGAATACTGGATTTCAAGTCTTATTTCTCTTGCCTTTTCAGAAATGGGACTAGTCAGGAAGATGGCCAGAAGTAATGTGAAGTCTGATCACCTGCCGTGTGCAGTAGCGTATTCCAGGGAGGCTGTGGCTTGGACTGGGTTGCACAGGGCTGTTAGTTGCTGATTTGTGCAAAGTTTAGCCTAGGTTGGGTGCTAGAGGGGTCTGCTCTTTGTAGCCTTTGAGGCACAGACCTGCATAGACTTGCTATTCAGGCAGCTGGTGTTTATCAAGCTCCATGACAAAACGCATTGCCAGAGGCTTTCCAGCACTGCGGTGCACAGCAGCCTGCAAGCAACGCAGCAGAATTAAAATAAGAGCTACGAGGGAAAGTTTTACTCATCCAAACACTTTCTGAAATGTGGGAGACTGCCATTCATCTTGACCTGCACATGGTTGAAATAGTCTAAAAGAAAACATTTGTGCCTGTGGTGGTGTTTGTCTTTTTTTTTTTTCAAATTGGACTGTGCATGACACTGACATAATTTTAATCCAGGTATATTTAACAGGCAGAAAACCAGGAATCTTTTACACTGCAGCATCAATCCAAGCAAAATGTACTCAAGAACTCTTGATGCCTCTTACAGCCGCACCAATGCCCTCAAAGCATGGCTGGGTATATTCATTGCTATTTCACATGTGGGTCTGTCTTTTTGTAAAAATTTCCCAGCTATGCCAAGTTTAATGGTGATTTTATGACATACATAAGCATTAACAAAAACATATGTAGAAATAGTTGAGGGGTTGTTATTTGGATAGAAAATGGTGCCCTTTTCTAATGAGAGGCCACCCTCTGAAAAGCACAGACCTCCCTGTTTGACTTGTCAGGTGCAGGTTGTATGTGCAGAGCTATTAGGATAATCTCAGCGGATGGGCTTATTAAATGTATGAAGCTACTACACGATTTTCTTAGACTTTTCACTAAAAGATTGTGCTAAATCTCTTCTTCCCTCTAGGTCCCCAAGCAGTGGAAGCACACAGCCAAAAATTTGAGGTGAAGACCCTCTCTGGAAAATTGCTGTTTTCTGCAGATGACAATGAAGTGGTGGTTGGAGCAGAGAGGTTGAGAGTTTTAGGTAAAAGACTATTGACTAAATCACTGTTTTAATAAGCACCTCTTCAAATTTTAGAATAGTTTTGCCTAACTTCCCTTTGCGTTTGGGGAAAGCTTCTTTTGGAGATAAAGCCTTTTGCTGTCTTTATTGCTTTGAATCTTCCCCAAGCAGATAATGGCCAGGAGTTTCTGTCTGAGGGGTTTCTTAACTTGCGCAATGTGTTATTTCCCCTGCAGAAAAAAACTCCCCGGGAAGTGGTTTGTCTGGCTGACTGAAGCAGCTTTAAAACCAGCTTTGGAAACTTAACAACTTTATCTCTTGGGTCTGGGATGAAGGACAGTGAGGGATCGCTGTAAGGATGCTTCCATGGCTGCAGTCACTGTGCATAGGGAAACCTCAGGCTTCATATTTTTGATCGCACCACTTTCACTAGCTCCTCCGTCATTCTAAAGTGAACACCGAGGAGGAGACCTGCAGTGAAAAAGTCGGCATGGATTAGGATCTCATACTAATTCTCTGAATAGTTTGGTGTCCGTTATATTAGTCCTCTTTCCTTAGCCATGTGCGAGAGCACATTGTGCATCTCTACGCCATCTTCAGCTATGCTATGGGTGGGTTAAGCGCCCCGTGCACTGGGGCAGGGGCCAGCCTTACCACTGCCACCGCTTCCCCCTCTGCCTTGCGAGACAGAGCAGGCTGTTGCCTGCACAGGATCTGCCTCCCCCACTGTCCTGCCTGCTAGGCTTTACATCAGTAGTTCCTAATAAAAACTGGGGATGCACTTCGAGTTTGGGAGGCGGGGGTTGTTTATTGTTTATTTTGATTTTTTTTTTTTTTTAATTAGACAAAAGAAACAGTTATGGCAATTGTAAAAATTTCAACTGTATTTGATAGATATATGAAATTACCTCTTGGGGACTTGAATTCTCTGGCTCTCTAGTTCAATCCGTGGTTTTTGGTTAGTCTAAGATTTGCTTGTGAATGTTTTCATGTAGGACCAGACTGTGTCGCTCAATATTGCTAGCAGTTCGTCACTTAGCAGTGCCACTGGTCTCTGTGAATGCACTGATACCTGTTTTCTAATGGCTTGATTTGGATGCATCTGTTTGCTCCAAATTGTTCCTTACTTCTCTAGTAAGCTGCTAAAAGCAGAGATTAATGAAGGAGCTTAGAACGACATGTAGTATTTTCAACTATTATTATTTCTACATATTATATAACTTATTAGTAGGATATTACATATAATCTAAAAGAGCTTAAAATGAGTGCCTCAGAGTCTAACCATCATGAATGGGACTTTGTATCCAACCCTTAACATTTTTTGTTACCTGTTGTCATGCTATTCTAGATGGTTCCTCTTTGTAGACAGGCCAGGTGTAGCTGTTTGCAGGTCACTGTTGTTACATACTGGACTAGTTCAGTCACCAGCTATACAAAGATAGGTGAGTTTTATAGGATAAATGTTGAACTTCACAACATTAACAGTATCTTTTTTAGCTTAAAACTTTGAAAAGGACCATTCAAAATTCTTGCAGTGTTACAGAGCTGGGGAATGTTTGTCAAAATCCATGTTCTGCCACAAATCTCCCTTCCCACTGCACCCTTCAGAGCTAATTAATTGTACAGTCTTTGTGCAGTGTAGATGAAGTCAGGAAGCAACAGTTTTTAAGTGTTTTCCTGGAGACCTTAAAATGTGACAGATTTATATCATTGGTTCTTCAAAAAAAACCACAGAAACTTTTCCTTACAAGTTGCAAGTACTCCTTTTCAGATTACATACTTACAAAAATACTGGTTTATATTTACTTTGTACTTTGGAGAAACCTGCAATTATTTTTGATAGCTATTTTGAGTTTTTGCCTTGGTTTAGTCTCCAGAATAAACAGCATCAAAAATATTGCTAACCACTGTAGTACACTTTCATTTTTATCTGCAACTGAGTGTTTTTGGGGGTTTATTTGGCTTATGCAGATCTATCAGAAAAGAAAAGGTAGGATGATACCACTGGTGATGTCACATGGCAAGTATTTCAATGACCTTGAGCTGAAATGCTTTCAGAGTTCATGCTTGGCTTTATTTTTCTCCAGCTTTGCTTCCCCAATCTAATTTTATCTCCAAAAGTGTTTGCCATGGCTGTTTGCCATGCTGGGAAGTGTTATACCATATGTTCTTATTTCTTCCAGTGTTTTTGTCTGCACTTGAGGCTAGTCCAACTTGTAGTACACAGACAAATTCCTTTGATGATTTTTCTGGTGTTTGGGATCTCAGGTGCTGTCGGTATGTGTCTGCTGACACCTATCTACGCTATGTAAATAATCTCAACTTGTTCTTGTTATTGCTGAACACGTACTTGTCATAGGAGGAAGTGTATGTCTGCAATCTGGCATGAAAGTCATCTCACAGAGGTTAGAGCAGCAGTTACTGGGCTTGTGGCTAGCTTTTAATCTTGTTAATGATAATTACTTCTTTTCTTTGTACACTTTTCAAAGTTGATTCTGAAAGTTTGTTCTACAAAGTAATGCTGAAGCCTTGTCATGAGAAAAGAGGTGCTTTCCTTTTTTGAAATGGACTCTGCTCTGAGTAGCTAAAGGATTTTTCAACATTAGCAAGGCATTAAAAAGGGAGGAATACACAGAATTATGGATTCAAAAATACAAGTAGGATATGTGCTGCATTTGATGGTGCTTCAAAAAATTTCACAGCATGCACTGTGCAGATCACCAAATGAAAGTGTTTTTTATTTTAATTGTATTTTGGGGGTTATTTCTGATTTTAAACCATTAAAGGACACAGAAAGACAGAGTTGGTCCCCTCTGCTTTTCATACATGATGTAATTTAGAGTACTTCAATGATTTTATTTGATTTTGTGAATCCAGTCAAACATGTTGTCATAGGAGAGATTGGAGGATAACGAGAACTGCTGTTTGAGGACAAGGGCAGCCCTCTGAGCCCTTTGGCCGTGGTCAGCTCTGATAGCATCTACACAACCTTTTCCAGATACAAGCATGAATTCCCACTGCCGTTCTCAAAGCCAGCCAGGAGCTCAGCTGCATTGGTCCAGAGGACTCAGAAGGAGCTCATGTTTGCCTACAAAAAGTCATGTAGAAACTGAGCCTTATGCCAGATCTGGTCTGCCCTTTTTCTTCCAAACTCATCTGCCAGTGCCTGCAATTGCCCAGCCATCTCCTCCACTCTTGTGGTGGGCTTGGATGGCAGCACATCCTCACTCTCAGCACCACTTTCTTTTACAAACTTCAATCCTGTAGTATTTGAGCACCCCATGGTCTTTTAAAAGATAACTACAGCAAACCTCGGAGCCATTCTCATTCCTCAGAACCGCGACTCTGGTTTTGCTTAGATTTTGAAGGCAAAATCTGCCATTTCTCTCCCTGCTAAACAGCACCACGATTCCGCTCCTGGGGTTGTGCGTGGCACAAAGTACAATCCTTCCTGGCACTGGCCATTGCCATGGTTAGCAGTGCACTTTGGCAGATACCACATAGATGCAGGCTGATGCCTTGCTGGATGTCCCCCGCAGGCTCATAAGCCCATACAGTCTGTGTGAGGGGAGATGAGTGAGCCGGTCCTAATTTCATTCACATGTGGTACATCATACAGCGGTTCTCCTTCCCCCCTCCTCCCTCCCTCCAGAAATGAAACTGTTCGTATCGTCTGAAAAACAGTGTGTAAGAAATACTCTTTAGTTAAAAGAGCATTAAAAAATAACTTTGATATATATTAATTACCGATTTCATTTAATAGCATATTGAACATTTTAGCATTTATAAACAAAAGACAATCATAAAGCATTATTCTGACTGTTAATTAGCTCTATTTATTCTCCAGATTAGTTTTTAAATATGCCCTCTAGATGCCACTTGATACTAATTAGCAGAGTTACATTATTATCTCTATAGAAAAGCATTTTTAATTAAATCTAAAGCAATTTAAATTAGCATGAGCTTTTACAGAAATTAAACTCTGGTCAGATGCTTAATTTAGCCTTATAAGACAACATCTGATGACATGCCAGTGTCAGTTCTCCCAATGCCTTGACATCTTTTTTGGAGATTATTTTTTGAAGTTTGTTTTCAGGGAAACTTGCCAGTATACTCCAGTGTTTAATATTTATGATGGATTTAACCATTTTTTTTTAAGACTAAATATTGATGGGAAACCACGTGCATTGCAGTGAGCTGAGATAAAAACACAAAAGACGCATTCCTG